TGCCCTGTCCTCCCCAGCCCACCTCCCCCTCTGCACAGCTCCGCTGCGGCTGACTCCTGGGTTGCAGGCCTGAGGGTGGGGCTGAGGGTGGACCTGGGACCAGGCCATCAAGCCGTCACCCTGGTTCACCCTGGATACAGTTGAGGCTGGGATTTTCCATTTGTGCTCGGAGAGGAGCGCCCCCTTTTCCATCCACAAAGTGCATCAAAGCAAACCTGATAGTCCCTACCCCGCTTCCCCTAAAGTAGAAGGTGCCCGAGAGCTTTCCAAAGGAGAATCCTTTGATTTCTTTTCCTTGTTTGGACTGGGGAGGGGTTTGGAGAAATATATTGTTCTAAAATAATAACCCTGGATCTGATGTGAGGCTCTGGGCAAGCACAGACCTGGCTGAATCATCATCCTGGTGCTTGTGTTTCTTAAAAATAACCCCCCTTGCAATATTCTAATTATAGCCAGGGGAGCACTTGGAAGAGGCCTCTCCATACTCAATAGCTCCCCCAGCTCTGGCCCTGAGATGAGCTAGCAAGGACTGAACAGTGTTTCTGGCTGGGTCCACGGGCAGGTGGCATGCTGTGATAACCCACTTCTGCCCTTCGCCAGGCCAGGAAATTGTAACCAGTGTTGCTGAGAAAGAAAAGGGTTTCACCTTACGGACAGGTCACCAGGAATCTCAGTTTAACTCATTTTCTGCCAGTGTTAACCTTTTTTTTTTTTTCCTCTTCTGGGTTCTGGGCTCTTGGTGGGAGGTGGGAGAGGTGGAGATACAGAGGAAGGAGACAGCTTAGTCCCTTTCCATTGGAAGCCCCCAAGCTGTCTGTCGTTGCAGAACCACATTCAGCTGTACAAGTAGGCAGGTTCCCCAAATAGCTTTTGGAGATAAGGTAAAGCCTCTCTTACACAGGGAAAAAAAAATTCTTCCTACTTGTTAATTCTTCGAATGGTGTCATGGTGGCTTGAATTCCTGGCTTAGGACTTTGTTAAAATAAAAATATCCCATGACAAACGTAACAGAATGAAGTCCTATCAGCCGTTTACACGTTAGTCAGAACTAGACCAAAATTTATCAAGGGGTACAGGTGCAACAGTGGGGATTCACTTGATGAATTCACTTGATCCCTGCTCTGAAGTTGTTTGCAGTCTCTGAGGGAGGCACAAGGATTATGAGCCTTCGAGATTCTTTAGCAGATGTACAAAAGGAAACACCGGCGCATACAGAGCAAGGAGCAGTGTGCTGTGGGGAGAGGAAGTTAGAAAATACTGCAGGGGAGAAGTGGCATCTGGGTTGGTTCTTGAAAGGATGACAAGAAGACAAGCAGGAGGCATTCCAAAAGCCAAGGTGCAGAGGCAGGAGTGGCCTGATGTCATCTTCAGATGCTTGGGAGGATACTTTGCGTGGGGATGGGGGTCAGTTTGCATCTTGGTCAAGCCCATGGGCTCTAGATTCTGGGGAAGAACTCTGGTTTCCACCACTTGCTAATAACCACACGACTTTGCTTTGAGCAAGCTTCCTAACTTTCAGTGCCTCCCTTTCTTCCTCTGTAAAATGGGTAGTAACACTATCAGCGCCATAACGTTATGGTGAGAATGAATTCACCCACGTAAACTGCTTAGAACAATGCCTGGCCCAGAGTAAGTGCCTAATAAATAAAAGCTATTTATAACGGTGATTTCTCAGCATCTGGAAGGTGTGGGGAACTGGTGGAAGTGATAAGGAAAGGTTTAGAAAAAGGAGGCCAAAGAGCTCCACATTATTTATTTATTTATTTATTTATTTTTGGTCACACTGCACAGCTCATGGGATCTTAGTTCCCTGACCAGGGATCAAACCCGGGCCCCTGGCAGTGAGAGCGCTGAGTCCTAACCCCTGGGATGCCAGGGAATTCCCATAAGAGCCCCTCATTAAAGTGCATCTGTTTTCAAGGGTGCTGAGAGCAGAACATGGGAAAGGTAAAGGGAGAAATTTTCAGGGCACAGAAAGTTCGAAAAATATGAAAATTCTGTTCCTCGGGGCTGAGGGGCTCCAAAAGGAGGAAGCCAGGAGAGTGGCCAAAAAGTGGCTTCTGAGGAGGTGGCAAGCATGTGGTTTGTGCCTGTGGCCTGTTTCTGCAGTGACCCCAGGGAAGCCCTCGTTTCAGGGCTGAGTGGGTAGGGTTTGTTCTCTCCTTGACCTACCCTGTCGCCTGTCCTGCCACTGACTTTCCAGCAGGTGCTGTTGGTCAGAGGACCGAGGGAGAGAAAATAGGTCAGTGCAGATTTATCCCAACACCTGAGAAATGATATGAAGCTAGGGTCTTACCAGCATTATTTTCATATAGGAAGGGCAGCACCTTTAGCGTCTCAGGAGGAGAGGTGTGATTTGGTGTTGAGGAAGATGCCAGGCAGGAAAGGTTCGGAAACTGGGGTGAGCTAATTGGTAGGTGCTGCGAGGACTGTGGAGCAAGGGATTCTCTTAAGCACAAGGGATTGCTAAACTTTCAGAGGCAATGGGAGATCTAAAGAGCTGCCATGGTGGAAAATTATTTCAGTTGCTATAGGGAATGATCCCTATTGAATCCTTTTCTAAAGCAAGGAATGCACATGAGTACTTCAAGCTTATCCATCGGACAGTGGATTTTTTAAAAAAATAAATTTGTTTTTGGCTGCATTGGGTCTTCGTTGCTGCGTGTGGGCTTTTCTCTAGTTGCGGCGAGCGGGGTCTACTCTTTGTTGCAGTGCGCGGGCTTCTCACTGCACTGGCTTCTCTTGTTGCGGAGCACGGGCTCTAGGCGCGTGGGCTTCAGTAGTTGCAGCACAGTTCAGTAGTTGTGGCTCGCGGTCTCTAGAGCACAGGCTCGGCAGTTCTGGCGCATGGGCTTAGCTGCTCCACGGCATATGGGATGTTCCCGGACCAGGGCTCGAACCCGTGTCCCCCGCATTCGCAGGCGGATTCTTAACCACTGTGCCACCAGGGAAGCCCGGCCAGTGAGTTTTTGACTACTGAATTTTCTAAAAGTGGGGCACACTGTGGAGGGGGGAGTAATTTACCTTTCTAACCACATTTGCCTTAGGCTGATGCTAACTTAAGGGGAGTCCACTTGAGGGAGAAAGTCTCACGTTAGCTATCTGTAAAGACAGCACCACGCCAGGCAAGGAGACAAAACAGACTTTCAGGCTTTATGACAAAATCTTGACAAAATGAACAAGATATTGATACATATGGACTGTGAACCTGGCTTGTCTGCAAAAACCCTAGTTCTCCCCACATTAGTTGGCCAAGGACTAGGGCAGAAATATAAGTTTAAGTTTGAATCCTCAAGCAAAAGCGTGCTCCCTTTAGCCGTCAACTCAAGAATGGCTCTTGCAGTGGTCCCCGGGAGCCACTCTACCAGGCCTGAGGCAGTGGCTCTGTTTATAGGGAATGGCTAATCTCTAGGGCATGTATGCGCTGGAGGACACCATTGCCCTGAAGGTCAGAAGCCTTAGGCTTTTTGATACAATGAAGGGTGTAGGCAAGGAAGTATTGGGATTTCTACCCACAGTCGACCATATTTATCAGCATCATCTGTGTATCCTGGGCACCATGAGAAGATACACAAAGGAATGAGAGGCATGATTCCTGACCAATCAAGCAGGGCACGTGGTCCAGCTGAGAAGTAAGCCCCGTGCAACGGAGACAAGAAAGTTTACAAGTTATTTTAGTAGTGCCAAGTAGCAGGTCAGGGAAGGTTTCTGTACCACTTTGGATAATCTAGTTTCAGAGGGGATGATCATAGACTGTTGATGACTATTCAGAAACGGGACATCTCTGAAAATAAGAAAGGGAGGGAGAGAGGGAGGAAGAGGGGAGAGGGAGGGCCAAGGAGAGAGAGAATGAGAATGTGAGGGGTGGTAGAATTTGTTTCTTAAACTAAGCCTGGTGTCCTTTGTTGAGCAGCACCCCAAGTAGAAGCTAGCTGTTGATTTCTCGTTCTAGCAACACTGAATGACTTGGACCACACTCATGCCAAGGGAAAAACAAATTTACTGCTAGGAAATCTTTCAAAGGTATAAACCAAGAAACCTTTATTAAACAATTATATTTTCATTTTGGTCTCTCTCTTCTTTTTTTAACACTTAAGACAAGGTTCAAGTGTAACCTAAAAACGTCTTTGATCTTCTTGTAAAAACGTGAAACTTTTCAGTTAGAACTCAGACATACTGGTTTACAACCTGGGTTATGTCTTACCAAAGACGGTGAGGAGGGAGGCTCATTTTAAAAATGGAAAAAATTGTGAGATAAATCATGAGAACACTTAGGTATGATTTTATATTGGGAAGTCACCTAGGAAGTATCTTTAATGAAGACATGATGTGCTACTGAATGATTTCTTTCCCCACCTTGAAGTTCTTTCTTACGACTTCCTATAAATGCCTGGGTGTACTGTCATATTGGAAAGTGCTTGAGAAAATGTATTTAGGGAAGAGAGGTGATTTGCCACTGAATGATTTTCCACATTGACCTGCTTTTACAGATGAATTCTAAAAGATTCATCCTGATTTTATACCCTCAAGCCTGGAATGAATAGTGACTGAGAATCTTCACAAGAACCTGAGTCACCTGAGATAGCTTGTAGGTGCTGGCCTTCCCCAGGGCACCGACACGAGGAGGCCAAGATTTCTAGGAGAATTTGGTTCAGATGTTCAGTTCTACTGTAGTCAAACTTTTTTAGACCCTTGCAAGGTTTACAGAAACTAGGTTTCAGAAGTTACAGTGCGACCAAATTCAGGCTTAAGGTTGAACAAACTCATTCAGCAACCTGTCAGTTTTTTTTGAACTCTACATTGAAAGCCTATTAAAAGGTTCCTTAAAACTTATAAAGGTGGACTTCAGAAACAAGAGGTGGAGTTGGGAGCTAAGGCTGGTGTGTGTGTGTGTGTGTGTGTGTAGGGGGGGGCAAATACCAAAAGAGTAGAGGTGCCTGACAATACTGAATGATCTTTCTGTCCCTTCCCCTCTTGCCTACTGTCTCTTTTACCCTTAGGCCTGCACTGCCTGAAAAGAAGGTGGCTGATCTCAGCACTCTGAATGAAGTGGGCTATCAAATCCGAATTTAGGCCAGCAATACAGCCAGCAACAGGGCTTCTATGGTGCTTCTGTTCTGCACTTTACCCAGCATCTTCAGGAGGAACTGCAACTATTTATTAAGAACTTGTGAATTTTATTTGTAAGGGTTCACTTGGAATAGACTCTGAGTGGGTGGTAACAATTAACGTTAAAAAAATTCACGAAGGGACAACCACGAAAAGGCTAAGTAATAAACCCCACTGCGGTCAGACTGTCTTCCTCACTCCAGATAGAAAGGATAAGACCAGAACTGTAGTTTTGTATTTTCCCATTTACCTACATTCTTTTACTTGTTTTAAACAGCAGTAGTAAATGTTCATGAAACCCTCCCTCCCACTTTTGATATAGTAAGGTAAACTCAATCAGTATTAATGTCTTTTTCAGCAATAACAGCGGCAAAGATTGATGGGGTCTTTTTTTAAGCAGTCAATATTACCTCAGCATCTTGACATCAGATATGCAAATTTAATGGTGTTTTGTTTTTTTATATTCTATTTGTATTGTTTCCCCAATATTTTCCATGGGGATCTCCACAAGGTCTGGAATTTTTTTCCTGGGGCACACATGCGATGAAATTTAAGGTATTATATATGCAAGTGTTTTACTAGAAAAGCACTGAAATTCTTCTGGCAATACGGGAAACCATTTTCAGGACCTTGGAGTTACTTCTTTCTTAAATCTTTCTTAAAGCATTCACTGACAGCAGTTTTTGTTCTTTCAAAACAAAAGAAAAGCACGTTCAGAAGCTAGTCTATGTTCTGTCACTAACATTTAAACTTTGCAGCGTTCAGCAAAAAGCACACAGGGTCATGAACTGTTACACAAATTTAGCAGTATTGCAATTACCGCTGACAGTAACACACTCAAAGGCACAGGCCAGGAGTGAATCAGTAGGTCTTTAGAACCAGCTAACCTTGCTGATCCCATTTCACCTGATTTCGAAACTATAAGTCAGGCCTCGATTCTGAAGGACTCACTGTTGTTAGAGATGTGCTCTGATGTCTTATATTAAGACCAAATACAACACGATGTCATTATTTTCCAGTACCTTGCTTTTAGGTACCACTTCATGATGCTTAGGAACTGGTATTGGAAAATACAATGAATTAGAGAAGCAGAACCTTAGTTTTAATGGAAAAGTCTTCGGGTACAGTGTTACACCTTATAGTGTGATTTAGTCTACAGAGCACAGTATGAATATCCGGCCTGCATATGGTAGTTACAGTGTAACTTCTGGCTGCAGACCACACAGAATAACTCTAACAGCATACCAAGTCTGTATGTTATCAAGAGTACAGCTTCCGTTTCATTTGTTTGATCTTAGCAACCATGCCAACTCATGAGACCAAAAGGCATATTTAAGTGAAGTCTGCTAGTCAACAAAAGTGTTATTTCAGTCTCAGTGCTTCCCCCTCTGGTTTTCTTTGACCGAAGTGTACATCTCAGTTAGATTAAAATACAGCATAAGTTAAAAATTCGGAACTTAACCACTTTCCTCAAGAATAGTACTATCAGTTAGCAGAATTTAAAATGAGTTATCTTTAATCTTCACAAGATGAACCCATTTGCAGCCTCATGGCCACTTGTATTTAGATGTTTGCAGTCGCCAGTGAATCATTTCATTCTCATTCTAAAGCAATACTGACCTAGCTCTCTCTCTAGATGTTTATCAATCTGAAAATATTATATCCAATAAGTAGACTACTTATAACATTGCAGTCATTCTAAGAGCTTGGAATAGGATTTTCCAAGTATTAAGTACTGTCCAATCTAAAATATGGAATGTCAAGAGTTGCATAGCGTCTTGTTTCCCACAGAAAAGGGGAAAGGAATAGGAATACAACCTGTTTCTAATATGCTGATGTATAAGCCTTAAAACTGCCAACTGGCTTGATGATTCAATTAGTAACCTGATTTATTCCACACTCATTTCTTGATTTTAAGATTCATTTCCCCAAAGCAAGAGTTAGTCACAGAAACATGAAAATTAATTTAAAATGTTCTTGGTTGTTATTCTATTTTTATTGTCTATGGAGTAAGTTAATTTCTAAAAGATATGAGGAAGGCAACAAACTCCTACATTCTAGTGAATTAATTTAATTGATAAGGCAAGAAAAAAAAAAGACATGATTTACTCTCTAGAACTGATTTTAAAACTGGCTATAATTCAAAAGATAAAAAGAAAACTATCAAGTGATCTGAAATCTAGTTTTTAAAGTTATTAATGCAAGAGAAATTTTATGCTTAAGCCATTATGGCAATACATGCAAAGTTTAAATGAATGACAGAAATTTTGATTCTAGACTACATGTTGTGCTGTTTTGAGTACACTTTATTTCAGAAAGTGATATTTAGTGTTTTCTATACACTCTGAAATCATGAGCATTTCACTTTTTCTAAGTCAATTATTTCATAAGGATTTTATTAATAGATATTGGTAAATAGAACTTTGGAAATCTTAATTCAGTATTCTTACTATACCCGAGGCTTTTGTAAGCTATAGTTTTATGTACAACCTTGTACAGTTTTTTTGACATGCAATTCAGAATCTTGTTTATTCTTTGGACTTTGTTCTGGCCAACACATTTTTTTAAACTCTTTTAAGAAAAACTGTGATTGTTTTAGTGGGTATTTTTCTAAGTAAATGAAAACTTGTATAATGGTATTTTAGAGAATGCCAGATAAGTGCATGTTTCAAGTTAATGTTTTTCTCATCACTTGTATGTTTATACACAGCATGGGACTTTAATAAAACCATCCTGGAAACTCAAGGATTATTTTCCTTCTAAAAATATATATGGTGTGATTTTTTTCTTATTCCTCTTATTACATACTTGTCCTAGTAAACTAATTTATCACTCTCTCACCCTTGTTGGTAAACTAATTTATCACTCTCTCACCCTTGTTGTCATCCACAATTTTCAGACTCTGTGTTAAACATCACTCTATTTTGGTGTATCTTAATTCACTTATATTTTGGTATCTAAGTAATAAAGGCTGAAAAGGGTAATGAAACAATTTAGAAGAGGCAACAAGTCAGTTACACAGCTTAGTACATCTACCACAAAATCTTCAGGCACAGATGTACTAGTACAATAATATATTAGGTAACTTACAGGGAAAAAGTGCAAATGACTTGACGTGAATGTTTCTCCAACCCCTTGAATTCTCTGGATCTTAGTTTTTTTATGAAAGCAAAGGGTTAAAAGCAGACAGCTGCTAAATTCCAAAAAAGATGATTTCAAACACACATACTGATAGCAAAGGCTACATACAGTAAAGCCAAAATTTCATTACTCCATAATATATCCCTTTCCATTTAAAATTTAAATAGCATAGGGAATTCCCGGGAGGTCCAGGGGTTAGGACTCTGCTTTCACTGCCATGGCCCAGGTTCAATCCCTGGTCAGGGAACTAAGATCCCACAAGTCGCAGGGTGCAGGGGGGAAAAAAAAAAAAAAAAAAACCACACACACACACACACACACACACACACACACTTGGATAGCATAGCGCTTGAGACTGGGAGATTTGGTTTCAGCAATTAACCAAATTTAAATTAATTTAATTTTGGCAGATAAATACAAGGATCCAACAGAGTTATTAACTCTTTGGACCAAAAAAAGTAAAGAAAATGGACGTTAATTCTAGTGGAGCTTTTTTTTTTTATAAATTTATTTTTGGCTGCACTGGGTCTTCATTGCTGTGCACAGGCTTTCTCTAGTTGCAGCAAGTGGGGGCTACTCTTCGTTGCAGTGCGCAGGCTTCTCATTGCAGTGGCTTCTCATTGCGGAGCACGGGCTCTAGGCACACAGGCTTCACTAGTTGTGGCACATAAGCTTAGGTGCTCCGCGGCATGTGTGTTCTTCCCGGACCAGGGACTGAACCCATGTCGCCTGCATTGGCAGGTGGATTCTTAACCACTGCACCATCAGACAAGTCCCTAGTGGAGCTTTAAAAAGCTATGATGTTACATGGACCCTTTCGCCTCCGGTACACAAAATAATACTTCATTCTATAAGCTAAAGTAGGAAGCAATTTTATGGATTAACTCTATTGAAGTGAAGCGCATGAAAAGGGCCTAAAATCACAATATATTAATCAGGATACAAAAAATTAAGTTTTCATAGAGGTTTTTAGGGATGTTTATCAACAATACCTATACATAAAGTTAGTTAATAAATTCACACAACACAAAGTAGTAATCAATGAATCATTTTTCTTTCCCCAAGACTAAAAGGGGATAAATATACTATGTGCTGTTATTATTTGATGATGACAATATCTGCTAATTAGAACATACAATTTTCTGAAAACTTACTACAAAATGAAAAATCCTAGAACTATAGTTAATACTGTGAGAGGAAGACATTAAACAGTTAAAAGTACTTGCTTATCGCTATAATTTTTACTAGGCAAATCCTTGTAACCTACATGCCTTTTGGGGGTATTTATCTGGTTTATTTTTTAAAAATTGTAGTAAATACCTTAGTAGAAAAACTTTTAAAGTCCAAGACTATAAAGTAGCTGCTGCTTTCTAATTTAAGATGAAGTATTCTATTAAGAAAACCCACTGTAAAAAAAACCCATTGTAAAACCCATTGCATAATTCAGTATAATTCAATATAAAATTACTACTTAGTAAAAATGTACATAATTCTTTGATCCCAATGTCTAAAAAAGAGGAAATTTTCAATTATGTTTAAAAATTTTTGATTCAAACACTTATACAGAGCCAACTACAGGATTTTTTAGGCCTGCTCTTCACCACTTTATAAAAAAAAAATCAGCATCATCTCACACTGCTGCATCATGATAAAACATTTTAGAAACAAAACCACCACAGTTAAACCACAACAAACCAAAACAGTTAAAGTTACTACTTACGAGCATTAGGTCTCCAAGTTGATATCTCTCTAGAGTTTTGCTGGCTTCCTCTTATTTCTAAGGCAAAATAAAAATAACCTTATAGCTGCCACTTTGTTCCAAATATGTTTCCTAATAAAATAAATTTCTACAGGATTAGTTAAGTAAAATAAAATATCTTTCCCAATCCAGGGATCTTTTCTTGAAACTGAATATATAAAAAAAAAAAAAATTACTAGGGAAACACAAGGCATAACCCCAATCTCTGCCTCTCCTAGGTATCCTGCAATGGTCTATGACAGGATGGAAAGTGGGCTTGTGTAAAGCACTTCATCCTAATAGTTATGGTGACCTATATTTCCCCAATAAAATGCAGGCATATTACATGGCTCAGGATAGTAAGAAGATGGATTAAGCAATCTGTACAATTTTGAAAAGCATTACTGAGCCCCCTCAAAAACAAACTACAATGGTTGGTTGGACACTTGTGAACCCAATGATTTCTGAGATGAACTACTTGGGACTCAACAAACATGATCCTCATGATGAAATCGGGCCTCTGCAAGGGAAATGAGTTATGGTTTGTAAGAACTCAAAGATATTTTGGATCCACTGTAAAGCTTGCCAAAAACATGAAATTCTTTACTAAGAGGACTAAAGAAACTGCACTATATTAAAAAATCACTGTCAATTTTACTGGAATTTATAATAAATATTTACAACTCTTTTACAATAAAGAGCGTTTAGATCTCACTTGTCAGGAAAATATTTTTTCATTATCAAAAAAAGAAAATTGTTGTAAACTTGTTTCTTCTGCTACCTGTTTCAAGCATTTAACATAACCTCTTCAGAAATTCCATAGCATAAAAATAAGTAACATGCAAACTCTTAAGAACAACTTTACATTCTTTGAAAAAGAACATAAATGGGAAAGCAGAGTATATATGTAATCAAAGAAGAGTAAGGGGCTTCCCTGGTTGGCGCAGTGGTTGAGAGTCCGCCTGCCGATGCAGGGGACACGGGTTCGTGCCCCGGGAAGA